CTAGCATTGCCAGCCAGCAAGCCCATCATGCTTGTGTGGGCTGCTTGCGCTATCAGCAAGCGAGCCACGCACCAAGGATGCGGGCTGCTGCTGGCCTTGCGCCTTGGCCCAACATTTCTAGGCAGCACGCATTGGCCCAGCCATGCTCCTGCTAGCTGCTACAGTTGGCGCGACTAGCCTTACGATGCTAGAATTGGTGCGCTAGCATGCACCAGCCAGCCTAGGCTCGGCTTGGTGCACATGCTAGCCACCATGCTAGGTCATATGCCCTTAGCACTTGGTTTGCTCGGGGCATTCCGATGCTAGGGTTATTTTGGTCTTTGTTGATTTATCATTATTTTCATGTCTCGTCTTTTACTATTTTTCGACTCGACTTTCGACGTTCGATTTCAACGCTCTAAGCTCGAATTCCCGACGTCTAAATATTAATTACTCGGTTGACTTATTAATTAATTCATAATTAATTAGTCGCTTCGGTTCGTTAGTTGCTTGGGTGTGACCCAAAGGGTTCAGTCAAGATTAAGCTGTAATATTAATTATGCATTAATATTGAGGCCTCCACCTAGGCATTCCGATCACTTGACGTTACTGAATATATTAGCTTTCTAATAATTCTGAACCCACTAACGGAATAGTACACTTGTTCGAAGGACACCATTCCTTTCATGGAAAACATTATTGGTGGATTTTTCTTCAAGTATAGAAAACCGCAAGTCGGTTTTCCTCAGGCATGGAAAACATTATCGGTGGATAATTCTTCAAGTATAGAAAACTGCCAAGTCGGCTTTCCTCAAGCATGGAAAGTATTATCGGTGGATTTTTCTTCAAGTATAGAAAACCGCCAAGTCGGCTTTCCTCAAGCATGGAAGGCATTATCGGTGGATTTCTTCAAGCACGAAATGACACCAAAATCATACGTCGACTTTCCTCAGGCATGGAAAGTATCATCCGGTAGGTTTCTTCAGGCTTAGAAAGCTACCAAACCCGTCGGTCGACTTTCCTCAGGCATGGAAAGCATTTCAACGAACGTCATTCGGTGGATTCCTTCAAGCATAGGAAGCTGCCAAACTCATTTGTCACCGATACACTGGTGCCAGATATGTATTCTATCCCTTTACTCTTTTATCTGGGGAAATAACATTTTTCTGCAGGTATCGGCGTATACAGAGTGATTTGGGATCGCAGAACGTCTTAAATCATTCTCCGTCCCTATCGAATACTTTGACTATCGTTTTCAAAAATGATGTTTCTACAAACTCAGTCAAAGTGGGGTCTTCTGTAGACACTTAAAAATGTCTCCCCAAAACCAAACCCGATGATAAACAACCTTTCACCGCCACTATTGGTCGGGTTCAGTATGCAATCCCGAGAGTGCTTAAAAATCGTATTTGATTAAATTCAATTTTCTTGAATAGTCCATGGATCAGTCTTGATGTTTAGTCAAAGCATAGTTTTTTTTAATTTAAGCCCAAACCTTTTTTATTTTATTGTTTTGACCCAAACCTTGTTATTTTATTATATTATTTATTTTAGCCCAATTAATAATAGTAAATAAAAAATGGCCCGAAATTATCAATCGGCACTTAAAAATGTTGAACGAAGTTAGGGTTAAAAATGAATTTAGACGGAAAAAACGGACTACAGACTCCCGTGTCACGGCATTTGTCCACCGTGTCACGGGAAACTGCCCCGCCTGACGGTGGGAAACCCCGTGACACGGCGCCCCTACTGTGACACGAGGAATTTCGTGTCCTTTCCGCGTAAACCCTTCACGCGTTTTATTCCCCGTACCCTAAATATTTCCCGCGTCACACAACTGTCCACCGTGTCACGGGGACTTGTCCCGTCTGAATGTGCCAGGCACCGTGTTACGGTGCCCGTTGACGTGTCGCAATGCAATTTTTTTAGGGTTTTTATCTTTTTAGGGTAACGTGTGTTCCCTCAACACATTTTTTCTATAAATACCCCCTCATTTCTGATGTACGGGGCATCAATTAATTCTCTATTTTTCTCTCCTCTATGCTCTAGCCTAAACACTAGCCTTACCCTTCTTCTTTCAAAATCTCTTCTTCAAGCACTCCAAGGAGTCCATACTTTACTTGTGGTTCTGTCCTTAAGCCAAGGCGTGAAAGGTAGAACTGTTTGAGGGTTTGGCCCCAAATCAAATCTATTTAATTTAATTTAATTTAATTTTTGTTTTATTATTATTTCCTTGAAGTTACTAACTCGTTTATTATTTTATAGTTGCAAGAAAACATAATCAAAGTAAGAATTATGTTCCTTTTATTTCTATTATTTTTCTAACGATTTTATATTGTTGGATTTATTGTTAAATTGCTTTCAATATTGATGTTTATTCTATTATTATTTTTATTGATCACCAATTGCATGTTTAAAGGGAATATGTAATTGAAAATCACGTCTAATAAGATAATTTGGACAACCGGTTTAGATTCCTTTTTAATCTTGTTGTTTATCAAGTGATCACAAATTTTATAGAATTATATGTTGCATTAATATTTAACCAATTTAGCTTAATAATAGTTTGGAGCAAATTAAATCTCTGTTTGTATGTCTTTGAGATCGCAAGAATGCTTTTCACTATAAGAATCGAGTAGAGGCCAATACGGGCGAATGTGACTCCATGACTCACTTCGTACCATCATCCCCGATCCTCCTTTTGTGGTTCTGAACCATATGGAGTTAGTAATCTCATGGATTATGAATGAGGTGTAACCTTCACGGGTCAATCGTTGTTGCCTATCGTTGTCCCTTAATCGTGGTTGCCTTTTATGATCCGTGAACGGTTTACAAGTTCCTTAAAAACTTGTTGGCGGCTCCCTACTTTCCTTGTCCCTAATCGTATATGTCAATTCCCACTTCCTAAGAGTGTCATGCATATTCACACATGCTTTAACGTAGGCGCACATCGAACAACGCCTACAGACTCGCATATTAATAAAAGTTGTTCACTTATTTACTAAAATGTCATGCTAATTGGGATGATTTGTTGATATAATTACGAAAATGCCATTAAATACACAAATTTTTTTATCATAAAGATGAATGGGGGCTCCCCCTTAGAAATTATAAAGGAATCAACCACTAGCCGCTCTCACAGTGGTGGTTAATTTACCAAATTTAAGAACACGAATTTTTTAAGGCACTCAACCAAATTCGAATTCATGGTTTTAATAAATTCAACATCATTAATCCGCTACTGAATCAAAGTTTAATATCCACATAGTCAGCAACCAGATATTTACACTACAAGAAATCAGTCATTTTGCGACAATTATTTTTGTCACAAAAAATAATGAAAATTGTCGCTAAAAATAATTACGACAGTCAATTGTTGTAATCAAGAATGTCGCAGAATTTCATTTTTACGACAGTTTGGCTAGCATAACAATTATTACGACGGTTTAACTAATTTAAACGACAATTTAATATTTTGTCGTATAATTAGTTTATGACAGCTTAAAATTTTCGTAAACCGTTGTGATTAAGTTTAGTGACGACCTGTAACAGTCGCAAATTAAAAAAAAATTAAAAAATAGAAAACCCACCCCTGGTGCATCCCACCACCACATCCCTTTTCTTGTTTCCATTGCCCGCCGCCCACTACAATAGCCCCTCTTTTTCCCACTACCACCGTTCCCATTGCCACTTCCATCACCCAAAACCAAAATCAACATCAACATCAATATATATATATATATATATATATATATATATATATATATATATATATATATATATATATATATATATATATATATATATATATATATATATATATATATATATATATATAACCTAAAAAATCAAAAATTTAACATCGAAAATAAGAGAATAAACCAAATACACAAAAATAATAACGAAAAATAAAAAATTTACAGCAAAAACCCATAAAATAAAGAATACCCATTAAAATTAAACCCAATCAAATTTAAACCCAAATTAACATGAAAATTAACAAAGCAAAACTAGATCTGAAATTGAAGCCAAACAAACCAAAAAAAAAAAAACAAAAATTAACCAAAATAAATTGATGTACAAAATATTCATATACCAAAAATAACAAAAGAAATAAAAAAAACAAACAATGAATTAACCAAAATAAACCCCTTGAAGATCCTAGAGAAAAGGAGGAAGTAACACAGAGAAAGAAGAGGTAAAAGAAAAACAATAGGAGAAAAGAAAGAAGTTCAGATTAAGAGAAGAAGAGGAGAGAGAAATAAAGATACTGAGAGTCTAATAGAGGAAAGAGAAACAAAAGAGAAGGAGAGGGGAGAGATGCGGCGCCTCATAAAATTAGGGTTTAGAGTTGGGTATTTAAAATACCTTGAATTTTTTTTTTTTTAAAAACAACTTAACGACAGCTATAAACCGTCGCAACTTATGACAGTTTTGCTAAACTGTCGTAATTGGTGAAAGTTTATAGCTATCGCAAATATCTAATTTTTTTATAATTATTTTTGATGTCTTTTTATTTTAAAATTATTTTCAAATAACTATTGCAACATTTTTATTGGCTAAAAACCGTCGCAAATCATCGACATTTTAAAAAAACCGTTGTAATGTTACGACAGCTATTAAAACTGTCGTAAATTCAAAAAATTACGACTATTATGTTAGTTGTCGTAGAAAAACTATCGTTATTTGATCGGATTTTAGTATTGTTAAACAACATGCAAACGCGATGACGGAGAACAAGCGACTTCGGCTGGAAGTATTCCAGCGAACATTAAAACACTTTCCAGCATATAATAGGGTGGGGATTGGTTTCAGGAAAAATTATCATTTAATTAGTTGGCTCAAAGTTCAAGTTCAATTTGAAATTTGAATTAAATTCCTTTAAAAATTTTCAGAAATTTTCATTTGATTTTGAATTGAAAAATTTTGGGCTCACAATAAAAAAAGATGTCATTTCACTAATCACAAAGGAGTATTACACCAACTCTCTGCCAGTCCGTGCCCTCCTTAAGCACAGGCACATGACTGAAGACGATAAATGTCCATGGTGTTTAACTGAAATCAAGACCCTTAGCCATGCTCTCTTCTCTTGTACTGCTGTTAGTGATTTGTGGGATGCAGCTAGTTGTAGCAAGCTTGTGCGAGTGAATGAATTCCCTGACTTCAAGGACCTGTTTGAAGCTTGGGGCAATGAGAATGTGAAGACTCAGCAACGTGGTGCTGCTCTGCTTTGGCTCATTTGGGAGCGCCGCAACAACAAGGTCTTCAATAATAAGGAATCCTCTCACAACTCCGTACTTAGGCGTATGACAAATCTGGTTGAAGATTACGATAAGTACGCTACAAGAATCTACTGCTGTAAAACTCCTAAGGCTCCCAAAAGTCCGAAAATTTGGAAACCCCCTCCTCAAGGTTGTGTCAAGGTGAATTGTGACGTTGCTTTGAATGTTGAGGGTTGGGTGGGGCTGGGTGTTGTTGCTCGAAACCACCAGGGAGAGGTCTTGTTTGCTGGCGTCAAGAGGTACAAGGCCTTCTGGTCTCCCGAGCTTGCAGAGTGCAAAGCTGTTGTCTATGCAGTAACGCTGGCTAAGCAGCAAGGTTTTAAGCACATAATCCTCGAATCTAATAACAGTAGTATCATTTCCAGACTATCAAAGGCCTCTACCTATCTCTCCGACTTGGATTCGTTGCTTGATGATGTTCTAGATACTTGTTCTTTCTTTGACTTTATTTCTTGGTCTCATGTAAAGCGGGAAGGGAATTTTGTTGCACACCACTTAGCTCGTAATATTCCTTATGGTGTTGAACAACTTTGGGCGAATTGTTGTCCCAACGATATTTCTCCCTATGTACTTATGGACAATTTGTCCAACTGAATAAATTCGCTTCCTAGCTTTCCCTAAAAAAAAAAAAGGAGTATTACACACTCAGTGTAAATGTAGTGCCTCCCGTCTTATAGTATGTAGTTATTGATGATTTCGAACGTACAATGTAATTTTAATCATTGGTTATACACTCGTATAAACGAATTGGTGGGCTCGTAGTCATCCACAATTTTTACTCATTTTCATTTTTCGTGTCACCCTATTGTGTTTCGCTCAAAGGTGATCAAAATTTAGGTCGGCCCGAGCCTTAACACAATTTCTCGTGTTTAAACCCACCAAAAAGTAGCAGGCTTGTCCAGTGGCGGAGCCAGGATTTGTAATCCGGGGGGACAATTTTTAGATGTTTAATAATCGACAATAATTATAAGAAAAAAGAAATTGATCACATAAATTGTTTAATATATATTTGAAATCGCTTATGAGATACGACAATTATTCTTATATGGTGAAAGAGGAGTTGTTAAAAAATTAATTGCATATTAAGAAATTTATTAACCAAATTTTTTTTTTTATGCTGGTAAACCCCAATTTTAAGGTATGTAATCCTTAATAATCGATAAATATGATTTATCAAATGATAAGCATTTACACAAATTGATAGTAGATGTAAAGGGATTTGGGTTACATTTTAAAAAAAAAATAATAATAAATAAATAAACTTTCTTTGACTAAAAATAAAATTGGAAACTTAGTTCCAAACAAGCTATAAAAAAATAGAATTTAGGCACACATAATTAGAGAGATAAAAAAATACGGAGACATGTGTTCATTACAAATAGTTTAATAACACATTAGTAATCACTATCAACAAGGCGATACTTGATTAAACAGTTAAATGAGAGTAATTAGAGGTTTGAAGACTTATAATACTTTGTATATATAAATTACATACTATATAATGAAATTTAAAAACCAGTAAAAAAAAAAATGGCAAAATCCAAAAACAAGAAAAAGAAGTTAAATAGGAGCACTTTGTATAAACTATAAAATGAAATAAAAATAAAGTCCAAAAATAGCAAAAAGAAACAAAAAAAATGATCGGGTAAAGAATCGAACCTAGGATCAAAGAGAAATACAAGCTTTACTCAAGCCCATCAACCACCAGACCAAATGTTGTCTTTGTTATATAAGGTATACATGTAAGGTATTTATTCTTATTTACAGCATTTATTTAAGCTAACATAAATTAAATTTTTTTTTGGAAAAATGGGGGGACAACCGTCCCCCCTTGTTCCTACATGGCTCCGCCCCTGGGCTTGTCTGGCCAAATCGGCTTTTCGGGTCAGATTCGGACTTTTTAATAAGAAATGTGTTTTTAAGTTTGCCCAAATCCGTCCTATGTTTGGCTGAATCGGGTCAGGTGAATGTTGCTGGTCTCTCTTCCCTCTTTGTTCCATCATCTATTTTCTGTCTATTAATTCATTCAATCAGTTGTGTAAAAGCTTAAAGAACGCAAAAATGGCGACTGTTGCTAGACTGCAACTTCTCCAACTACATCCACACCCTAAACTCCTCAAACCCTGTTTTCTCTCTCCTCGCATCAAATTCAAACTCCCCAATTTCTGTTTCTCCTCTTCTTCGCGAAGCTTCTCTGCCTTTCGTTGCCTTTCCTCCAATACCGATCAAATTCGTCAGGTTTTTTTCTTCAAAAAGAAATTCATTTCTTCAAATTCGTTATAGTATTTATCAATTTATTAGTAACTTCAATTTATATGTAGAATTCTTCCCATAATGAAAAAGATGGGTCAATTGTTGGGGATTTGCTAAATTATCTCAATGAATCATGGACCCAATTTCATGCCACTGGTATGTTATAAGAACAATTTCAACTTATTTTATTTTGTTTTTACGAATTTTTTTCCTGCAAATGCGTAAAAATTTGAATTTTGCGTCAGTTTTATTTGAGCTATTTATTTATATTTAGACTTTTAATTGTGTGTATTTTAATCATGCTGAACTTATAGGTCAGAAAATAATCAATGTGATGTTTATGGTTCGAATTTGCACCGGATTACTAAAAGTTAGTAAAGTTTTTAGTGAATTAATTCAAGAAATGTACTCAACTACGATTAATAATTGTAGTCGGAAGAAATAGTGATTACCAGACAGATTTGTATTACTCCCTCCATTGCCAAAACTTTGACTTGCTTACTGTAGAGTTGTTAAGAACGCATGGAATAAATGAATGGGGTGTAAGTAAAAAGTGAATAAAGTAAGAGAAATGGGTGAAAAGTTGAAGGGTGTAAGAAAAAGGTGGATAAAGTAAGTGAAGTGGTAAAAAAGTTTAAATAGTCTGGGGTATGAAGTTAAACTATCAAAAGGGGGTTTTAAAAGAGGGAATAAAGTAGAAGTGTGTCAAGTTTTTTCTTTATTAGTTTATTATCACTCAAAATGGAAGGCGAATCAAACTTTTGGGATTGGAGGGAGTGTAAGAAAACTCTATGTGTAAACGTATATGCTGGACAACACACTTCTTTGCATAGACAATTTTCCAATTTTTACGGATGCATAATTGATTAACTCTTTGGGTTCTGTGATTTTCTGTTATGAGGTTAGTAATTTAGTAGGTATCTATATTTGCATTGTAATTGGTATTGAGAAAGTTATCAAAATATCTACGCTATAGTTATGTTTTATTTTTTATTATTTGTGCAATAATTGTTGCACATTTGATTTTGTATTGTGTAGAGTATTAAATATTAGAAATTGCGACGGTTGAGTACAAGATGGAAAAAATAGAAGGTGGCTTTGAAAATTGCATTTTGTTATTCGCACTAGATTAGACAACTAGACTAGCTTACTCAAAAATTTGAGATTTGGACTGATGATTTTTCATTCCAAAGTTGAAATAGTTTCTCCTCTTTCAAGCAACTAAGTCAAGCAACTCATCAAAATGACTGTATGTTTGTCATGAAGTTCGTGGATTTTTTTTGTTGGTTTTTAAATTAATGATGATTTTGTAGTAAAATGAATATATCTAATGTCAAATCATATAACGGTAGGCTGGGAGACATGAGGCATTGACTGACTGTTTTATGTGGTTCTTTCTCCATGATAAGATGAGTAATTCTTAATACATTTATCTTAATTAATCATTGAATAAAATGTTCTCGTACCTGTTATTTAGTTAATAATACAGAGTAACACCATGTGGTATTGTTGTGGAGATAAAGGTGGTAAGATGGTAAATAATCTGTGCCAAAATTTGAATAAAGTAGAAGTGGGTACATAAGAAAAAAAAAATAGAAATAAAAAACAATAAATAGTCATAGGGGGTAGTAAATTTACGGATCTAGGACTACTGGTGTTGTTGATTCCTACATAGCATTTTGTTTTTATTAGTAAAATAAGACTCTTAGATCAACTTCTTTAATTTGGTAACCACATAATCTCCTGCTGCTGACATGAGGCCTCTATGCACATTTACCTGCAATCGATTAGCTCTTATGAAGGCCTTTTTTTCGAGAAGAGAAACATTTTAAGTCCGTCCTTTCTTTCTGATCACAGTAACATCATTGCAGCTGAAGCTAAAAGGCAACTACTTGCTGCTGGCTTCCACCTACTGAATGAGAATGAAGAATGGGAACTCAAGCCTGGTGGTCGATACTTTTTCACAAGAAATATGTCTTCTTTGGTTGCTTTTTCCATTGGTGAAAAGTAAGATATAAGCTTGTTTAAGTGCAATTCTCATATACTTAAGTTATTTACTAAGTAATAGTTGTTTAAAGATTTAAAAAAATTGGCTTACTTTTTGATAATGTTACTTCTTTGATTGATGGTAGCTTGCTCTCCTACTATGTACTTTTAGTTTCTCCTCGTTTGATGACACTCGCTCTCTTCAATACCTTGCTGTATTCTATTTGAACTTGTATTTGACCATAATTACCTAATTTGTATCACGTTTAGGGCCTTTAGGCTTAAAATGTAGTATGGGTATGTGATATGTCTTACAGGGAATGTGTGGGGATATATATTATTGATGGTCAAAACTTTGTGAATCTCTCTTGACATTTTTTTTCCATGTGTAATATTGCCTTTAAAGCAGAAAAAAAGTCAATGAAATAGCTTTCATAATGAAATAAACTTTATGTATACTTGCTGGCTGCTGTAGTTTGGTGTTTCATGTATACCTGCTGTATTTAGTTCAAGCTCCATAGTGTTCTTTTGTTTTCCTTTAGTGTAGGGTCATATTTATGGTTACCCCACACTCCACAGGACTCTGACTCCGAGCAATGTATCTAAAACAAGAATAAGAACAAGAACAATCAAAGCCTTAATCCCAAATTAATACCAAAGATGGGGCAGGCTACATGAGCCAAGATTTTATCTCCAGTACTTGCCAATCATGATCCTCTCATTCCATTTTCTTTTGTCAATTCTCCTGCTAACGCAACTTCTTGTCCTTGACTCCTTCCATCGAAGTCATCTTTGGGGTTTATCTATCTTCTTATTCACAACCCTCTACTTGCCTTACTGGTGTGTCTTTCGTTCTCTGACATGCCAAACCAATATGAAAATTATTCACCTATAACAAAGAAGTTTCACAGGTTAATTAGAGCCTTACATTTTAAGTAATCTTTTGAGATTAACTTTATTTTTTGAGTTCTGGAATATTTGATGCTCTAAACATAAAAGTTTTTTCGTGTAGGTGTAAAAAAAAAAAAAATTCTCTCCATCCCATGTTAGTTGCCACAAACTCATTATGGTCATCCAAATTTATTTTCTTATTTGCTAAAGTGGAGCCCATCCATTTATTTCATATCTACCCTCATTAACAAAAAGGTCCAAATATGGCACCTTTGGTACTCCTTTCAAGTGCCTTAAAATCTCATCCAGCTCATTTGTGGTAAATTTTTTGGGACAGAGGGACGATTGGATTTTATTTATAAAACTAGTTTTAGATCCCGTGCAATGCACGGGGATTACTAATAAAATATATGAAAACAAAATAAGTTTTATTTCAGGTGTCATTTAACCTAATTTTGTCTATCTAATTTTTCAAGAAAATAGACTAGTAACTTACAAATCAAAATAGAATATTGAATTCAATTTGTCAAAAATGGAAAAAAAGACCATTGAAATTTATTACTTTTCAATGATTTTATTATTTCAATATAGAAATAAGATCTTTAAAATTTGTATGCATAAGATATACTACCTCCTTTTTTTTTAAGTTAGACATCGTTTGACTTTTACACTATTCACACACTACACTCTGACTCGTTTTTGTGATTTATAGATATGATAAAATATAGTCGTGTGGGATCTTGTTTGAATCGTCTCAATGTATATTTTATTAATATCCACTTTTTATAATATTACAATGTTAATAATTAGAGATATTAAGCGTTAAAAACATGTGCTGGCAAGCGTGATAATAGAATTGTGTCAACTAAAAAAAACGGAGGTAGTATATGTTTGTTTCCATCTGTCATATTCATAGAACTGTCTTCACAAGCAAATACGACTAAAACTTGAATAACAAAGAATGTTAACAATTGATTTTATCATGCAACATTGCCACCCAAATACATAAAATAAGAAAATTATATACTTATAGCTGTTCAATTTTGATTATATATAATATATTATTATTTCATAGTAATAACAAAAAATGTTAACAATTTATTATATCATGCCACTCCATACATAAAATGAGAAGATATTAGTAATACTAAAAATATTCTTATAGCGGTTTGATTTCGATTAGATTATCTAAAAAAAATCTTAGTTATTTTTCGCAAATATTCCGTACCACATACAAATATGATAAATATGAAAATATGCTGTTGAGTTGTTGTGGAAGAAATATGGTTGTAAAGTAGCGCTATTTGTTAAGTACAAAGTATTTTCTAAGAAGTCTTGACCCAAATAAATTGTGTGAAAAGATATGTCTAAATTCATAATTTGTACAATACATTTTTTCCAAATATATATCATACTATTTAATATAAATGATGTGAATAATATAAAAGAATATTTAGTTTAATATATGTGGATTAAATATATATGTCTGTAAAAAGTAATATAATATTGTGTGTATACGTGTAGAATATTTTCTTAGAAAACTCAACAAAATAAGATATGTAATGTCAATTTTTAAAGAGTAATTACTCATTTTTAGATTCTCTAATATTTGTATGTCTAATTTCTTTTTTTTTTAAAAAAAATAAAAATAAAATTAAAGACACACCAGGAGATTACACGTGTCATTATTGGTTTGTCTTTTAGTATATAGTTATTCATTGATTATTGATGATTTCTTAGAAAACTCGGCAAAATAAGATATGTCATATCGATTTTTAAGGTATAATTACTATATTTTTAGATTCTTTAGTATTTGTATGTCTAATTTTTTTTTTTAAAAAAAATTAAATAAAAATAAAGACACACCCGGAGATGACACGTGTTATTGTTGGTGTGTCTTTTAGTATATAGTTATTGATACCATTTGTCCATTGTAAGAATGTTTTGTCATTATGAAATTATTTCTAAATATTAGTTTTTAGAAGGATTTAGCTCTTACAATATAAGGCTAGACCGGTAGACCAAATGGTAAATGTGGCTAACAAAACAATCACCCCCAACATTGTTGGTCTGCCATGTAGTACTAGTAAACTTAAATATTTTTTTCTATCTAATGGTCTTCTCTAGTACTGTTCGGTTACTAGATTTTCTACACTATCACATCACTTTGTGTCTATAAGGAATAGATTTTAGACATTTTTTCGCCTTCTCTTTAACATGTGGTAGCATAAATGGTGACAAACAATCTTGACTGTTCTTTGCAGTATCTTCTGAGTATGCTTAACAGGTAGTGAAGACTAAATATATGCTGAGCAAATTGTGAACAAAAAGCTATCATCTGTTTTGCAGTTACAATACTGGCAATGGATTTCACATTATTGCAGCCCACACCGACAGTCCATGTTTAAAACTAAAACCAATATCAGCATCGTCAAAACCTGGATATCTAATGCTGAATGTTCAAACATATGGTGGTGGCTTGTGGCACACTTGGTTTGACCGAGACTTAAGTGTTGCTGGAAGAGTTATAGTTAGGAGTGATGATGGTTCCTTCATTCAGAGACTTGTGAAAATAAATAGACCACTATTGCGAATACCTACTCTAGCCATTCATCTCAACCGGTATGTGTTGCAAGACTTGCAACTCTGTCAAAGCTGGCTTGTGTCCCCAACATTTTTTTGTTTTTGCATGCCTTAGAAATTTCTAACAGCTGATTGCCAAAAAGGAAAAAAAGGAAACAGTGCTGTTAGCTGCTGGATGGATATCTATTTTATTAGGTTATTACCATTCTACTAAAGGTGGGCAGTCAATAATGAAGATTTTTACTTTTTTGAATTAGAATATTAAAATCATAAGGTCATTTGATGTCTGAAAATGTAGAGGGGGAATGCGAATAATCCTGTTATAAACCAAACATCTAAATTTGTGTTATCCAATTGAAGATGACAACTAAGACAGTGTTCTCCTCACCTATTCTCACTTATTTGAGTTATTTCAGGTCTTTTTTTTTTTTTTTTTCGAAAGGGAGTTATTTCAGGTCTAATAACTTTAGATAAGATAATATAAAGGCTAATCAGCTCAGATAAGACAATGCAGGGGCTAATCAATTTAGATAAGACAAGGGTTAATAAATTCCACTAAATTCTAAAAGGACTTTATAATCAGGCCCAATAAGGTCAAATTAGATTCTATAAGATAAAATAATGTAAGATGGGATAAGATAAGGGCCAATAAATTTTGATAAAGTGAGTCTAGGTATAAGATAAGTGAAATTCAGGTGAAGAAAACACTATCTAACTTTTACTTTTCCCCTCCCCATTGGGAAGAACCTGATATTGATCCATGGTACTTTATTTTCTTCTTTTGCCTCTTATCTTATAGAACAGTTAATCAGGATGGTTTCAAACCTAATTTAGAAACACAGCTTGTCCCATTGCTGTCAACAAGATGTGAAGAAGAGCTTCCAGAGTCTAAAGAACAGGGACCAACAAAATCTTCTAAGGCTTGGCATCATCCACAGCTTCTGGAGGTAATTACTGATTGTTGTTGTGGACTTCACCATGTATTTGCTCATATACTGCCATAGGCATGGCCTTTTTTTGCGGATTAAATTGTTAAGATAATAATAATATCATTGCAGATAATTGTATTTACTATTTAGTGTTCCCTATAATTGATAATCTCCTAAAGCAATTGTCATATATGTAGTTTAGTGTAAGTAGTTCAGTCATTTAGATAATCCAGTATATTACTTATACTGCTACATAAAAACTTGTGAAGCTGAGACTGGACATTTAAAATTTTGTATTTTCCTACAAAGGATTATTTCTTGGATATGCTTATGGATTTTTGTTATCCGGGTGTTTCATTTTATGTCAAAAAATAATCTCTAGACACTTGGATGTGTCAGGACCAATTTTACATTGTCATATGGTACACATTACAATACAATTCGTGGTACGAGATTAAAATCAGAATTCTGCCCGTAATGAATTGAATACATCCGGGAACAAATGAATGCAACAGAAAGACCTTCAACGATTGGGTCATAGGCTTGTTGAACAGGGTCTTATGGTTCAGCAAATTGGATCAGGTTTTGGAAAGTAATTATTTGGTTTACCGAATGGGGGTCTGTATCATGTTCCCAGTAACACTTGCTGGGCCACTTTGATTCTTGGACAGATGGACATGTAAAATTATATAAAAACAGACCTTACTCTAAAAATTATGATAATATGGCAGCTCTTTATCCCACCATTATTGATCCTTGCAAATTTGAGCAATTTGCCTATGTATTAGACCCATTCCCACTCCTGTTTTTTAATGCATTTTTTCTATAATATTATTTGGCAGGTTCTGTCTGAAGAGTTGGATTGTTGTGTTGATGACATAGTGAGTCTCGAGCTTAATGTTTGTGATACTCAAGCCAGCTGTCTGGGGGGCATGAACAATGAGTTTATATTTTCTGGAAGATTAGATAATCTTGCCTCTAGTTTTTGTGCACTTAGAGCTCTTCTTGATTCTTGTTCATCTCCTGGAGATTTATCTAATGAAGATGCTGTACGAATGATTGCTTTATTTGATAATGAAGAGGTAGGATTTTCTTGGTTGCCATTGTTTTTCTTGCTGTTGGAAGGGGATTATGTCCTATAATATGTTGACGGATATATATTTTGAATCAGTAGGCTGACTTGGGTACTTATTCTTATGTTCCTCTAATGATCTAGCTTGTACTGTCGTGACTCTATAATTTGAATTCCATTATTAATTTGTCTATCTTGTAGAGTCATAGGGTTGTCTGCAATTGGGACTGCTGTATTTAAAAAATTTACTGTTGGACGTTTTGCTATTTTCATATTTTCCAAAGTGATACTCTTGCATATGATATGCTGACTCTGACATTCCATGTCGTTTTACTATGTGCATTTGAATCTTTTTTTTTTTGTTTTTATGTTTTATGTGGAAATCCAAGTAGGCATTCTCTCTCTGTTACTCACTTTTCCTGATCACTTTTAGTAATCTAGTCATGTATTTTTAAATATATTTGGTAATTACCTGTGTTGCAGGTGGGTTCTGACTCAATCCAGGGTGCTGGTGCACCCACAATGTTTCAAGCTATGAGACGCATAGTTAGCTGCTTGGCTGGTGAAAATGTTGGTGAAGGGACTGTAGAAAGAGCGATTCGGCAATCATTTTTAGGTATGTCTGCCAAGGATCATAAATACTTAGGTGGATATCTAGTATTCTTAATGCCACAACCCCTACTCTGATGAATTTATTCTGCTGATGCTTTCAATCTATTTCAGTGACCTCCCCCTAGTTTTGAGCACTGAGTTTTTAATTTTTTAATGGTACTGCCTCTGTTCCAGAATAGTTCAAACAATTCTGGGATGGAGGGAGTACATAACTGAAGCAGTCGCTATTATGTGAAAAATAATTCACTTAAATTATTAAATTGTAAGATCACTTGCAAAGTTGCAATAGTGACTAAAAGTATGTTGTTTTGAACATGACATCGTATTTCTGTTTGGGAACAATGTTTAATAGTCTCAGCTGACATGGCTCATGGAGTTCACCCAAATTTTATGGACAAACATGAAGAAAACCATCGGCCACAAATGCAAAAGGGGCTTGTTATAAAACATAATGCTAACCAGCGCTATGCTACTAGTGGAGTTACTGCTTTTCTTTTCAAAGAAGTTGCAAAAATTCATAACTTACCAACTCAGGTACTTTTATTGATGTTCAGCTTCTATTGCGAGCTTCAATTGGGCTGTTCCTTTTCTTATGCATGATTGATTACCGTGTTTTCTCTGAGTGACGATTCAGCAATAAAATTGAACTATTTTTGCTGTCATCAAGGATCAAATAACCTTAGAGGGCAGTGGAATAGATACAGTCTATCACTTTCTTATTTCTGCATGCTGGAGTGATTCTACCCTTTAATTAAATGTTGAAGTTGGGGGACAACAAAGGCCATAGTAATAAACAAATAACAGAGCTACTAAGTTTATAGTGTTTTCAGATAGTGGGACCAAACTCCAAAGGCTTGTGACCTTTTGATTGTCATCAAGGCCATTCGTTTTGGACTGAGTAAATTTGAGGGAACCTTCTAAATTAGTCCTTATATACGTCCTCCGTTGTTGTTGTTGACACAAGAAAATTCATAATTCATGTAATGCAAACTGCATAGAGTCGTTTCCAAAGTTAGCAAACCATATCACATTAGAAGAAGACATGTGAGGTGATATGGCCATTCCTGACTGCTGTTTCGGAGCATAGCAATTGGTAGAGCCTTATCAAACCTAAAGTGCACACTTTAGCTCACCTTAAAGGGGACTTTTGTCTTCCAAATGATATTCAATAACTGAAATCAGCACAAAGCTTAAAAAGGGGGTTTTACTTGGAAAACACTCCTAACAATCACTCATCCTCACTTCTGAATTCTCTACGTCCTTTTATTGAATATCAAATGGCTATGCACAGACCCCTCTATCACTCGGTTGTGGGATGGCCACCTCAAGTGTAAGTCCCACGCTTTGCCAGTATTGAAACTCAACACTGGAACAGTATGGAGAAACGATAATGAAAAAAAGGCGAGAATTGCAACCATAGAGAGGCTGCTTGCATATCCAAGCATCTCCCTAAACGGATTTGCTTTGAACCTTACCAATTTTATAACTAGAATAGAAGCGTAAAAATAAATTATCAGGGTAATTTAGAGTTAGCCGAACATCTTGTGTATTCCACTCATTTTGTCGCAGACCGTACCTGCTTTTATAACATTGTACCATAGAGTTTTTTTTTTTTTTTTTTATTTACTCATTTTGACTTTTTGCATCATTTACATAATCCACTTTGACCAATCTTGTTAGAATCGTTGCAGTCTTATTATAATTTTACTTGTTTACATTGGATAAATGGTCAATGTTCCATGTTGGGAAACGTGCTAAGTCAAAATGGATAGATAAAAGAAATGGTGGTTATCTCATTAGTTTGCTACCAATCTTAGGAAGGCTTTTACTATTAAGAGGTAAAGTGATTAGAAACCTTTCACTTCAACAGTTCCAAGCAGCCTGAGATATTAGGTGTTCTAACTTCTAAGCTTCTTGCGACCTTGCCTCTTTATGCTGATTACATAATTTTTGCTATTACATGCTTCTGAAATCATCTACTAGAGCATCCAACAGCCACCCAAAGAAAAGACGTTTACCTTTACTAGTCTTTTAAACATCTGATGTTCATAACATTCGTAGATTGGAAGTATGGTCTCATTGCTGCATTTATAACTTTAAAGTATTCAAATCCAGAGTTGGACATAACTATATTGGAGTCTAATTATGGGGGTTAACTGCTTCTTGCTGTATCGCCTATGAGCTATTTTCTGATTGTATACTACACTGCATAAACTCAGCCATTGACTTACACACTAATAAAGAGAGTTAGGTAACAGTTTTTTGTTGATTCAAATAGAATTTACTTCTACACCATTATAGGTTCACAACATGGACTTTCAAACCCCCTGCATCTCAATGACTACAGTCCTCGCTAAGAAAACATCAATCCCCAAAAGCATCTAAATTAAAAGCCTGGACATAGATGCTTCTACCATCCCCTACATGCCATAAATTTAATTATTTAAGTATTGGGTGATACACCAGATTACTGAGAGTTGTAAAGGATCACTGTGTATTGACCAATCTGGCGATGCTTCACTAATGTGGAAGATACAAAGGCAATTTTTCAGGAAAAAGAAAAGCACAAATCATTTATGTGACATAGTGAAATAATACTTTGAGGGTTTGCTATTATTACCAGATCATGTCATAGATTTGCCTAAATCTTTCTTACAAGCCACCCAGGCTTCCAGTAATGTATTTATCATCACACAAATTTGTTAAGAAGGTTCATCTATTAGGCACCATCCTTGTTCAACAAGTATGGATTGAATTCCCAGAATCTATGCTTCTCTTGGAAACAGGAGTCATAAAGTTTCCCTTGACTTCTAATGCATTATCCTCTGAGAACACTTTTAAGCTAGTTATTTAGATTTGCTGTACAAGACTTGTTCCTTCCCTAATGACTTTTTTTGTTAAGTCTATATGTGTGTAATAATGACATGATCTAATTGTCTGCTTGTAGGAATTTGTGGTCAGAAATGACATGGGGTGTGGATCCACTATTGGTCCCATACTTGCTGCAGGTGTTGGGATACGAACTGTTGATTGTGGCATCCCTCAGCTTTCCATGCACAGGTATCAAACTGGTCTGTTCTGCTTTGGATTATAACAAGAGGGCTGATTTAGCATTGACTATGACATTGAGATGATAAACTTGATAATCTAGATGTGAAACAAGCTCTATTTCAATAACTATCCAGGTTTTAGGATTTTATCACCTAGTATCTACTATCTGGTAGAGGAAAGCTTACATAGGATACATAGGAAATAATTAGGCAAATACTGTGGGTACCACATGGTTTAACCAATAGGAAGGTTTACCCAAGGCTAAGTCATCTCTGAAAGATTGGCTTATCAATGAAAGTATTTCCTTATACAGAAGAAAATGACTATTGAATGAGGTGATTGTTGTCCTATGAAGCAAGTTATTACTGTTGGTTCCCCAGTTTCCTTGATTGTGAAGAAAGATCAAGAATCTACAAGGATGTTAAATCTTGGTCATCAGTTGATCGCTGAAATACGTTGGGAAAAGTAAAGAAACTAGTCTATGTTAAGTGGATACTTTGATGCAGAGAGGAAAGGTTGTGTGCACTTACAAGCCTAATTATAAGTGTGAAAAAAGAATAATTTTGATTGTGTTCTGTTCAAGTTTAATTGAAGATAGTTTAGTTTAGGTCATAATCGGGTGATTATTCAATTGGTTCAATTCAGGCTATAATCTGGCTTGTATCTGGATTTGTTAAAATTATTTAATTATTAGACACGCGTCATTACTAACTGTATTACTTTTGGTGCTCTTTGGATTGGGTTAGTTTTGGCGTGGGTCAAATCTAAACTATTTTGTTCTGTGTACACTTGAGCTTAATTTTGGCAGTTGTAGTTATATATTATTAATATTTGCAGATTAATGTTATTGTACGCCCCTATCTCCACAAAATTCTTTCCACTTTTGCATTTTTAAAGAAATTCTATTATTTTACGCGAACTTGATCCATTTTGTGAGGCTTTTTATTGTAATCTCCCACTTTATTTTATTTATTTTCCTTGATATGTGGAACTACAATACGCCAGAAGAATTTTGTAGAACTAAGGGAGTATGAATATGATATATGCTTCCTTAATTTTTTTAGTGCTAAAACTTTTAATTTTGGAATATGCTGCTGACCCTGAATGCTTGTTTTCTTGTATGTAGTGTGAGGGAAATATGTGGAAAGGAAGATGTAGACACTGCTTATAAGCTTTTCAAAGCATTTTACAAGACATTTTCCAGTGTTGACAGAAAATTATCTGTTGATGAGTAAGTCTAATATCAGACTTGATTCAAGCTTCTATAACCTTGACTAATGTGTCTGGAGCACCCTATCCTGCTGATATGGCTGGCTGATAAGCGGTCAGTCCTTTCATTTATTATAGAAAGAGTCTTTTTTTATAGGTTTTTCCATTGAGGCAGCGGTAGCCCTGAGGGAGACAGTATTGAGAATCATCCTATTAGTTCCTCTATCACATGTTATCCATAAACGACTAATTTATAATTTCAAATGAATTAGTTGCTGATTGGCCAGATTCTGAACATTTCAATGAGCCGGGTGGGAGACTGCTTATGCAGCCAAAAATTCAAGTGCATATTGACCTTGTGAAGGGGTGTAACAAACTTCTGGAATCAAATAATCTGTCACTTTCCGAGGATTGTATCGAACCTTGAAGGTCACTCAAAGTAGTTAGGTTGCAGTCATAGATTATCCTTGAAAAGCTTTTGCTGGAGTGCAGGATTGACGGCACAACTCTTGATCTCATATCTTTTCAATCACATTCTAAAAAGGCAGTATTGGATTTGGAACTTAAACAGTCATTTTTTGTTCAATAATTTCTGTTGTTTTACTAACTTTATGAACCATTTTGCAAAATTTACAATCACTGTACTACATTTCACGTAAAGTTTCTGTAGCTTTCATATTTCTGGTGAAAGGAAGAAATAATAAGTGAAAATTTTATATTTCATAGTGCATATTGCGGTTATCACAAGTATAAATAATACAATACTACCAAATTATGAAGTGTTACATCATTGTCTTCATTATTAGCATTTATGATCTCTCTGCCAAATGCGATTTACACTTTTTTGTATATGATCAACCAACCAAAACGGGTAAACGGTCGTCGTCTTCCTAACACCAAACATCTGACAAGTCTTAACCTTCAAACTAACTCTTTCTTTTGTCTTTTTAAGAGAGGCTGAGTTTGTGCTTTTGGATGCTCAAATCTGTCCACCATCAAATATTCAAAATCTCAATGATGGACAATCTGGCCCCCGCAACACCAGATGCAGATAGCAACTCCACAGTGGATGCCTCTCGGCCTTTTCACTCAGTCAAAGAGGCGGTTGCCATCTTTGGGAAACGGATACTTCTTAGAGAAGTTCAGTCACCTTTGCAAGCACCCTCAACCCCTCACATCGAGCAGGTTACTTTATCACCTTCCTTGGAGTTAACACCAAATTCAGAAAAATCTCATGGTGTTTCTCTCCAAATTGGTACACCTGATTCATATGAGTTTACACAGAATCCCTATAAGCCTCAGAGTAATGCTTCTAGTGAAGCTGTAGACTCATCGGTGTATGAACCTACACCAAGTCCTGAAATACCGAAAAATGAGAACAAATTTTATCCTTGTTCAAATTCTCCCTGGGATAAGAGCATATCACCATCTCCAAGTACTTCAAGTAAAGAAATTGAACCGATACCAAGTTTTGAGAAACCAACTAATGAAAAGCAAGGAAAAATAGTGCATGGAAATGATTTAGTGATGATGTTAATGATATTGAAGAGACTAGAAAGTGAGTTGCAAGAAACAAAGACAGAAGTGAAGCTGCTAAAAGAAAGAGAATCCGAGACAGAGGTGGCATTGGCTTCTTTGAATGCAGAGCTTCACAAAAATATGTCCAAGATAGCCAAAGCTGAGGCTGCTGAAGCCGGAAAAGCAGCAGCAAAATCTTTAGCAGTCGTTGAAGAAGGAAATCGAGAGATAGGAATGAAAGATGAGGAAACGAAAAAATTTGAAGTGATGGTGAAAAATGTGGATTCCCCTACATTAGCTCAGATACTAAGTATTACTGACTATGATTGCTATTTCGGGAATGGTATAAAAGCGAAGAAAAAGATGAAGAAGAAGCCTATTATTCCGTTGGTGACCGATATATTTCCATGGAGGAAGAAATCAACACCAACCAAATCAACTCCTTTGTATTCTTGGCAGTGACTTCTTTTACTTCATCCTTTGTTCAACTGTTAAACGATTCTTGTGGCCATTTTGTAAGTTCAAGTGAATTATTCCCCATCATATTAAAAATAGGAGAGTGAGGGACAGTTTAAGTGGTTAGAGCTTCCCTCCCGATCCAGGAGATCTTGGGATCGATTCTCACCCCGTCCTTCTCTAAAAAAGAATAATTAAATAAAGGGGTAAAAATAAGAGGCAATTTATTAAAAATAAAAGTTTTGTAAATCTATTTTGATGGTTATCCGATGCAATAATAATTTTTGTATTATTGCCTTGTAACTTGAATTATGTACTCGCACTTTGTGTAATTATTATTATTTTTTTTAATAAGAAAAATACAAAAGTTAGGTAAGTCTTCTTTCAAGACTATTGTTTCGGGGTTTTCTGATGTCCTGCGGGAGAGTTACAATTCTGAGACTGGAACCGGACGCCTGTACCTGCAAAACAAACGGATGCTCCGGACGATTGGAGATCCGCCTCCGACGGTCAAGTTAGTACTTGATTAAGGAGTAATTAATGCGGAAATAAAAGTAATTGGGTCTCTCTAGGTGAGAGTGTTAAATGTGCGTAATCTCTCTTAATGAGGATTTAATGGGCATATTTATATGCCTTGGGATGCGTGCCAGTACTAGGTTTAGGTTAAACCTAAGGCTGACTGGGCCTCCCACAATGATTGGGCCTTGTTGGCCGATTTTCCCATTTGGCATGGGTGGACACGTGTCACATTGCAATTGGTCCAAGGAGGACGAATCTCTTGATGACACGTGGCAGGCTCCTATTGGCCTACATGAAGGACACGTGGCAAAACCTGGCTTGCCCACGTGTCGGATGCTGATTGGTGGATAAAAATCCCCTAATCATTTGCCCCTCACAGGTGGCACGTGACTGGTCACATGTTACCTGTGACAGGTGTCGCACCGTGACAGGCGACGGCCTGCTATAGGTGTCACTCGGTGAAAGGCCGAGAGATTCTCCCGCCCAAATTTTGAATTTTGGAAGTGACCCTTCGCCTTCTCACTTTGCCTATATAAGGGTGTGTTGACTTCAGTCATTTTCACACTTGAGAACTTTTTAGAGAGAACATTCGGACCCCTGAACTTGCTCTGACATTCCGGACTCTTTCTGCCTACCGCCTGCTCTGACAAGCCGGCTACTCAGGATTTTCAGAACTCCGTCAACTTCACTTGTTCAGGTAACCGTCAGTTCTCTTACTCTTAATTTTCTCTTTATTTTATTCTTTTTTGAAATGGCACCACGGAAGCACACGACACGACCTAGGTTAGTGATCAGCCGGTCACCGGGGACGTCTGAATCTAGGACTAGGAGTGCCGCCTGCCCTTTTCCGGAGCCATCTTTGCCCTTTATACAAAGTCCGACTGTCTCTGTGTCTATGCAGAACATGATGGCCAGAAAAAAAAGAACTGCTAGGATCTCGAACTCAGACGGCTCCTCCCACCGGGTGCCGATTAGTGAAACATCTGACCAGGCGCCAGATGTGGAAGTGAACCAAGGCGGCTTGACAGCCGACAGTTCTGAGGGAGGGGTCAAGGTGACCCCTTCCCATTTTACAGTTGACATGTCTACATTCTCTCCTACTCCTTTTGAAGGAGAGAAGGCAGGCCCCTCTGGGAGAGGGAAGGAGTCGTCCTCTTCGGACTCGTCAGAGGACGAATCCGAGTCTAGTTCTTCTGGTCATGCTTCTCTGGACACGGAAGAGAAAAACAACCGCCTACAAGAGGCGAGGCTTTCTCACGCAGTTGAGAAGGGGGACAATTGGGCGGAGCCATCCGCCTCTTACCGAGAGCAAAATACCCCTTACTACTGCACTGTCCCACGGGGCCAGATCACGACCATGCAAGAGAGAGTGGGGAGCTTTATTGCGAACCACACAATGGGCCCCGACTTTTTAGTTTTCGTGCCGGATCCAGAAGACACAGTCGTCTGGCCGACTGGTACTAGTTATGATAGCGCCTTCTTTGGCTGCTACGAGGCGGCCATCAGGGCTGGGCTGTGCTTCCTACTACATCCGGCTGTTCAGCGGATCTTGGATGGGTATGAGTTGGGGTTATGGCAGTTAGCCCCAAACTCCTGGGTCAACGTACTCGGCTATGTGGCCGGGTGCGAACTGCACGGGGTGGAGCCAAACTTCGAGGCTTTCGCCCACATGAACTACCTCAGCCGGACCCCTAAGGCAGGCGGTACCGGCTGGTATCAATTGACGAGCCACAGAGGCTACCTCATGACAAGAGGTAAAGCAAACAAGTGGAAGGATTTGCGAAACACCTTCCTTATCATTGAAAGTTCAGACACAGAGCTGAACAAGCGCTTCAACAGGTGGAACAGGGATCCGCCTCTTCTTGCAGGCGGCCGCAGCATGTCGCCTGTTCCCCCTAAAGCCAAGAAAGAGATCCTGGATAAAGGACTCTTTAAAGTAGAGTCGAGGGTCGACTCTACTACAGGGGTACGAGAGCAAGTACCCCTGCACTGCGTCCCGAGCTTCAAATGGCTCTATGGCGAGTACTTTCTGGCCGCCTGTGGCCTTAGCAGTCGGTGTTCAAGAGGTAGCCGGCCTGTCAAATACTCTTTTTTGCCATGAGTTACTGTTTATCTTTTTATTAACTTGGTATCTTGTCTTTGTAGCGGACGCCATGAGCAAGATCACCGCTTCCAAGACTGCGGCGGCCATGTTGCGAGCCTCTATTATGCAACAATCCTCAACCGACTCCCCCAACAAGGGGGCGCCCTTGGTGAGCTCCGAACCTTTCACTCTCTTTTTGGAGTTGGGTTTATGCATATACTGACCGAGTGTTTTTTTTTTTTTTTTTTTTTTTTTTTTTTTTTTTTTTTTTTTTCAGACGGGCACTCCAAGAGCCTCTTCTTCCCAACAACCGGACTCCAAGACCCGGAGGACGCCTGTTGCGAGCTCTCCTGGTACTTCCAGGAAACATGCGGCGGCTGAGAAACAGGCGTCCACTGCTTCTAAAACTCCAATCAGGCCGCCTAGAAGTATGAAGCTGTCCTTGTGAATTTAGACTTGCTCCCTTCTTTACTAGGTCTAACCCGTTTGTTTATGCTTGATGCAGCCGGCCCTCAGGAGCCAGACTTGGTCGAGGTGGCCAAGTCTATGATCAAAGCCGTCCCTCCGGCTGAGAATGGGTGTCGGTACCCTTGACCTAGACGGGATTGCAGGGGTCCTTGCTGAGGTATACTTAGCATATTTTTGGTTATTTAAATTCCAGGACGCCTATTTTTTGTTTGAAAACTGACGCCTATTCCCTTTTACTTAGGCCCTGCTCCGAGTGAACGACCTTCGCAAGCCGCTTGACAGGAAGAACAAAGAGGTAAAGGCTGCAAAAGCTATGGCCGCCTCTAACTGTGATAAGGCAATGTTTCAAATTGCCCAAAATGAGATTTTGACAACTGATATTCTTTATTATCAGGCGCAGGCTACTTCTGCTATCCGGGCTCAGTTGGAGGCGGCCCAGAAGAAAAATAATGAGCTGGAGGCGACCATCAACAATCTCAAGGCCGAGCTGAGACCTCTTTGCCAAAAAATGTCCTCATACGACACCTTGGAGAAATCCTTGGCACACGTTAAGGAACGCCTGGTGACCCAGGAGAAGAGTCTTACTCAGGAGCTCTCGGCAAAGGCCGAGCAAGAAAAGAAGGAGCTGGTCCGAGAGATGATGGAAGACTCTGCTCAGATCCAGCGCCTGACCTGGGGCCGCCTCTTCCCCAATGCCGACTTTTCCTCATGGGAAAAAACGTACCGCCAGTGTTCTGATAGATATAATCAAGAGATCCTGGCGGCTGCTGAGGACGAGGCGTTGGAGGAGGAGGAGCCGGTAGTGGCGCTTGTGCCGCTTGGGGTGGATGCATCGAAGAAGGATGCAGCTGAAGCCGAGTCCAGCAAAAAGAGTGCTGACCAGGCGGCAGCTGCTATTATTGAAGATCTGCCCCCTTATTAAGCTTTATGTCTTCTTTTTACGGCCGTTTGTGCCGTTTGTTTCTGTTTACCCGACCAGGGGGCCGGGGTTTTGAATATTTTGCCGGTCTTAATGACCGGCTTCTTTTTGTATCTTTTACCCGGCCAAGGGGCCGGGGGTATGAATATTTATGCTGGTCCTTCTGGCCGGCTGTTAATATATTTCAGGCGACCATTATTTTAGGTCGCCTTTTTGCCAAAATGTTTCGAATTTGTTTCGTTTCGAATTTGTTTCGACTTTGCTAAGTATCGAAACTCTGATATCCAATTGCATACTATACCGACTGTTTTGCATGGCCGATAGTTGCGGACATGTACGAGGTAGTTAGTCACGCCACCTATGCCCCTGGACGACTGGTTGTCTGTTTCCAGGCTAAGCGATCAGTCGACCACTTTAAAGACTGGATCCCCTTCAACCAAGTAGGAAGGTGGTTTCCTTCCTGCCTTGTTTTTTTTTTAGGCTAGAGACTCTAGTCGGTCTAGGCCGACTGTTCCCCGCCACATTTAATCTAGTGTGAACAGGCGCTGTATGAACACCTTTTAAGTTTCATACTAAATTTTTAAGGAGTGACCAAGTAAACATGATTGTTACCTAGTCGCCGAGTGACTGAGTAGTAGAGGTTTCAAGCGGTGGGTACCGGTTGTTCCCCTTTATTCGCCAATGTTTGTTGGCTATTAACTCATATGATACCGACTGTCCTTATCCCAAGTAGTTCAGTCGGTTGGTTGACACGGATGGTTACTGCGAACACTTGTTTGACCTGATTAGTCAGTTAAGTGAGAGGTATCCTTGTCCGGGAAACGGCTACGTGGTTGTCTTGGTTAGACAGTCGTATAGGTGCCGTGTAATGATTTTATAGAACAATGTTCCACCCAAAAGGGAGCTGCTCTCTGCGACGAATTTCATCCGGATGGATGCCGTCGGACGCCTGCTATAATGTTGGGACAGGTCGAATTAAACTTATATTTGGATCAGTTAGCTTGGCGTCTGGTCTGATCATTTCAGCCATGAGCCTTTGATAGTTCTTGGTGAACTGTGTTTTGGGAGAGTAGCCGGTTGTGTGGAACAAGCGGCGTGCCCCTTTTAAGTAAGAATGAAAATTAAACATGGAGAGTAGCCGACTGTTTGTCAGTAGGCATGCCCCTCTTAGTACAAAATTGAATGAAACAACAAACTTTTATTAAGTAGCCCTCGACTATTTACATCATTCAAAAGAAATATTTCTTAAGATTATCTACATTCCAGGTTCGAGGCAACGGTTGGCCGTCTGGTGTTTCCAGAC